TTTTTTTTTTTTTTTTTTTTTTTTTGGAATAATTGTTAATAGAAATAATGTGGCAAACTACTATTTGCATCAATTTAAGTATATATATGATATCAATGTATCGTACTGCTGTTAGCTTTATTATCTTCATTGCAATATATATTTGCTATTTTATTCATTCTAAATATACTTTTTATAATATAAAAAATAATACTCTTTTTTTTGTAAAGTGCTTTCTACATACACGTCTAATATTAAGAAGCCAAATCTTTCAAACTATTTAAATAAGATTAAATTGCATTAAAATATATTTATTCATTGTCCAAAAGAAAAAAACACAAAGGAAACTCATTTTACACACGTGCATCGCACGTGAACTTTACTAGTTTTTTAAAACGCACCTGGAATGGGGGTTGAGGCTACACCTCCGACATGTGAATATAAGGCCCTGTAAGGGCTAAAAAGTCAAGAGTCTACATCATAGTCGAAAGTACAAAAAACATCATCCAAACAGAAAAACCAAAAAGTACAAAGGTCACAAAATATCCAATGTCGCTCCAAAGGCTGGACCTCATGGAAGGTCGGCCTGGTCAAGGTGGCCAGACATAAAATCCAAAACGTCAAGTCTAGTTAGAGTCAGGTGGTGGCGGTTGTCCGAATATGAAGGATGGGTACTCTAACTAGTCCATCCGAATGAGGGTTCGAAGTCGGAGGGGGATGTTCTCAGGATGAAGGATGCGACTCTGAGGTATAGAAGCCCCAGTGCTAGCAAGGAAATCAGCGGGGCAGTTCCCCTCTCGGAATGTGTGAAACCTGGTAATGGATTGAGTGGAGGGTGTCTCTGATGCGCATAAGGGGGTGTTGGATCTGCCATGAGCCCTGGTGGCCAGATGTCAAAAGCTGCATCCATCTCTATCCAGATATGAGAGGAGATCGAGGCAGTTCAAAACATCAAGTCTAGTTAATATGTTTAACTATAAAACGTATTTAGAGAATAAGTTTTACATGTATTAAAATTTTAAAACGTATTCACTGAATACGTTTTATGTATATATATTTTATTTATTCAAACTCATTTTTGATGAAATCGCAGATTTTTTTTACAAATTATTATTTTTTTTTAAAACGTATTTCGAAAGTACGATTTCATATGTTTTTTTTTTTTAAATAAAACTACGAAATAAAAAGCGTATTTCTGAAATACGTCTTTTAAACCATAAAAATCAATTTTAGGGTTTAAAAACCGTAGTTGTGTAATACGTTTATATTTTTTTTAATTTAACGTAAACAATTTTGAAATTGTTTTTTTTTTAACAAGATTGAATTTAAAAAGTATTCCTGGAACACGTTTTGCTAAATAATGTTTTTTACAAAAAAAAAAAGTATTTGTAAATACGAGATTTTTATTTTGGTCCATTTGATTTTTTACTTTTTTTTTTCACTTATTTTTTAGTTTTTTTTAATAAATCACCCGTAAGGCAGATAGGACATCCACAGTATAATCCAGCAATGAGCCTAGTAGAATCTCAGACGCCATGGATATGGACCCCAATAGAGAGAAACTGCCTCTCTCTCCTCCAGGCCAAGCCCCCTCGCCGCGCTGCCCTCCTCCAAATCCACGCTTTCATGCTCCGGAACTCCCTTTTCACCAATCTCAACCTCGTCGCCAAGCTCATCGCCGCCCTCCCCTCCGCCGACCCACACGGTGGCGCTCGCCACGCCCGCCGCCTGTTCGACCGGACGCCCCACCGCTTTTCCGACGCCTTCCTCTGCAACACCATGATGAAGTCCCACCAGGCCTCCCGCCAGTTCTCGGAGGCCATTGCCCTGTACGCCCGCCTCCAGAGAGCGGCGGCGGGCTTCTCGCCGGACAACCACACCTTCTCTACCCTGGCCAAGTGCTGCGGCATCACCTCCTCCGCTCGGGAGGGGATCTGTGTGCACGGCCACGTCATCAAGTACGGGTTTGAGTCGAACATGTACGTAGCGACCTCGCTGGTCGACATGTATGGGAAGCTGGGCCAGATGGGCCACTCCCGGAAGGTGTTTGATGAAATGCCCGAGAGGAGCCCTGTCTCGTGGACTGCCCTCGTGGCTGGGTACATCAGGAATGGGGACATGGGGACTGCAAAAGAGCTTTTCAACCTAATTCCTGAACGCTGTAGGGACACGGCCGCGTACAATGCGGTGATTGACGGGTATGTGAAGCTGGGGCAGATGGGGCCCGCCAGGGTCCTGTTCGACTCCACACCGGACAGAAACGTGGTGTCCTGGACGGCCATGATCGACGGGTACTGCAGTTGTGGTAACGTGGATGAGGCTAGGGTGCTATTTGATACCATGCCATGCAGGAACTTGTACTCGTGGAATGCAATGATCGGAGGGTATTCCCGGAACAAGCGTCCCAATGACGCTGTTTCTCTATTCCAGGAATTTCTGGCTGGAAACTTTTTCGAAATGGATGACGTCACGGTCGTGAGCGTCCTTCCCGCCATTGCAGATTTGGGTGCTCTTCATTTAGGGAATCGGGTTTATGAATTCGTCAAGAGGAAGAAACTGGATAGGTATGCAAATGTTTCGACTGCACTGGTCGATATGTACGCCAAGTGTGGGGAAGTCGAGAAAGCCCGAAGATTTTTTGATGGCGCTCGAGCAAGAGAGACGAGCACTTGGAATGCCCTGATTAACGGTCTGGCTCTCAACGGGCGTGCAAAGGAGGCATTGGATGTGTTTGTGACCATGAGGGGAAACGGGTTCAAGCCGGATGAGATTACCATGCTTGGCGTCCTCTCGGCCTGTAACCATGGTGGTCTTGTGGAGGAAGGGAAAGGGTATTTTCGTAAAATGGAGAAATTCAAATTGGTTCCTAAAATCGAGCACTATGGCTGCCTAGTGGATCTCTTGGGACGGGCCGGGCGTCTGGAGGAAGCCGAGAGGCTGATCGAGAGCATGCCTTATGACGCGAACGGGATTATACTTAGTTCTCTTTTGTTTGCGTGTGGGTGTGCTAAGGATGTGGCCAGGGCGGAGAAGGTGGTTGAGAAGGCGTTTGTGATGGAGCCGGCTAATGATGGCAATTACGTGATTTTGAGGAATTTGTATGCATCCCAAAGGAAGTGGAGGGATGTGGAGAGGATCAAGAGGCTGATGGTGGTGGGAGGGGCTAAGAAAGAAGCAGGCTGTAGCGCAGTCGAGGTCGATGGACAACTTTGGGAGTTTAATGCGGGAGAAGGTGCGCACCCGCACGCGGAGGTGGCACGATGGGTGTTGAATTGGCTGCGGTTTCACATGGAGGTGCGGGGCGCACTTGTTGATGCAGGTAGTTGGGCGATTGAAGCTTGAAATGTGAAAAGGTTGTGGTTTTTGTGAGGGCCTGAGACGAGCAGGCTTGGAACCGCTTACGATTTAATTTAAATATATATCTTGAAGATAATTTTAAAAAAAAGTGTTAGTGAAAAGTTTTGGTGTGTACCTCTCCTTTATTGATCGTGAAAGACAAGATAAAGATAATGAGTCTCATATATAATTTAAGATATATGTAAATAAATGTTTGTTTATTTTAGAAACAGGATATTTTTATGGGTTTATTTGAAATAAATGTTTGACAATTCTGCATTTTAAAAGAATCTTCTCCCTTAAATGCTCTGTTTACAAAATACTTACACAGTTAACATTACCAGTTAATGAACCACATAACAGAAATATGTATACATTGTTATGAGTTGTTTTTATCTAACTTGTGTTGTAAATTATTATTGACATCAGATAATGTCAAGACCACACATATAAAAGAGTAAAGTGGAATCATCCTTTTCCAGCCATGGCAGATGAGACTCTTACAAATGAGGAAATACAAGTGACAGAGCTCTCTGAGGAAGCTCAAGGCAATGGGGTTCCCATTAAGGTAACTTGAATTTCATTACAGAATTGAATTGATCACTCAGTTAGCCTAATTATATATATAAATAAATTTAATCACATTCAAAGATTACAAAATGTCCCATAGATTTTTGCCTAATCTTAGTCATTCTGTTTTCTTTTAGCAGATAATAGAAAAGGATATTGCTGAAGAAACAAAGAAAGATGAGGAAACAACCCTTGATGGGGAATTCATAAAGGTGGATAAAGAGTCCCTCGACGTAAAATACCGTTCAAACGCTGAGGAAAAATCGTCTGCGGTCGAGCACACAAAAACAGATCCCGAGCCCACGCGGGAGCTGCTGGAATCACAGGAAAAAATCAAGGAGCTCAAAAGTGAACTGCAAAGACTTTCTCACTCGGCAAAGGAGGCTGAGTCCGAGAACACCCACCTGAAGGACGAACTCCAGCAGACCAAAGAGAAGCTCCTAGAATCTGAAAAGAAGCATGAGGAGCTCGAGGTCAGCCATAACGACCTGCTCGAAAAATTCACGGATGCTGAAAACAGGTACCGTGATCAGCTCAAGACTCTTCAGGAGTCGTTACAAGCTCATGAAGTGAAGCACAAGGAGTTGGCCGATGTGAAAGAGTCCTTTGACCGTTTGACCCTCAAGCTCGAGACATCTAGCAAGAAGATTCAAGCGCTGGAGCTTGAATTGCAAAATTCATCTGAAGAAGCCCGGAAATACGAGGAGCTGCACAAGCAAAGCGGTTTAGATGCTGAGGCTGAAACAAAAAAGGGTTTTGGAATTCGAAAATTTGCTTGAGGCGGCAAAATCTAGCGCCAAGATATGGAAGAACAAATGGTTTTGCTAAAGGATGAGCTCAAAAGCTTGTACCACAAAATAGCCGAGAATGAGAAGGTCGAGGAGGCATTGAAGAGCGCTTCTGCAGAGCTTGCTAGTGCTCGTGCCGAGTTGGAAGGGTCGAAATCTCATGCAGAGGAAGTCGAGCAGAGGCTGGCTTCAAAAGAGACACTTATAAGCGAGTTGACCCAGGAATTGGAAGTCATGAAAGTTGCCGAGTCAAAGTCCAGAGACGATGTTGCATCACTCGAGAATCTGGTAGAGGACGTAAAGGCCAAGCTTAAGGAGGGACTCGATGCAAAGGAAAGAGTTGAAGAGTTACTGAAAAACGAAGAAAATAAAACGAAAATCGCACAGGAAGATCTGGAAAAAGTTGTTACAGAAAAATTGGACCTGGAAAATGCCGTGTCTGATTTAACGAACAAAACCATCCAAATGAAAGAGCTTTGCGACGAGCTGGAAGCCAAGTTAGGCCAGTCGGAAAAATTATCACAAAAAGTTTCCCAACTCACTGAAGATCTCAGGAAGGAGGTAGATGAGAAGCTAAATCTAGAAGCCAACTTGCAAGAGTCCCTGTCCAAGTTATCTGAGAGGGATTATGAGGTGGCTGAATTAAAGGCCGGATGTGCGGAGCTTGTGGTAAACCTGAAGAATGCGAGTGACAATTGGGCCGAGCATGAGGGACAGGCCAACACGATTCATCAACGTAGCTTGGAGCTTGAGGGCTTAATTCAGGCGTCTGATTCCAAAGCCGTTGATGCGGAGAAAAAGGTTGGGGAGCTGGAATTACTTCTCGAGACTGAAAAAAACCGGACTAAGGAGCTCGAGGGGCAGATAATCTTGCTAGAGAAAAATTGAGAGAATTTGGAGGCGGATTTTGCGAAAACCAGTCAGAAGGCTTCTGAACTTGAGGCTGAGCTCGCGGCAGTCAAATCAAAAGCGTCAAGTTTGGAGGATGCTTTGCAAGCTTCGTCGGAAAAGGAAAAGGAACTTATAGGATTCTTGAACTCTAACTACTGAGGAGAATAATAGTCTGAAGGAATTATCCAGGACCTCGGAAGAAAAGCTATCTGCATTGCAAAATGAATACAATGTTGCACTGGACAGGTTGGGGAACACTGAGAATGAGCTCGGAGTTAGTAGGCAAAACGAAAACCTACTTAAGGATAGTCTGGATAAAGCCGGGAAGTCCTCTGAACTGTTGAGCATAGAGATTGCCGAACTAAAATTGGCAAAAGAATCTCTTGAGTCGGTGCACGAATCACGAACATTGGAAGTGAATGAGAACGCCTTGAAAGTGGAGTCCTTGGAGAGGCAAGTCAAAAGTTACTTACTTGGTCGGATTAGCTGCCGTTCATTAGCTTAGGACTCCATCCATAACATAATCGACAGATCCAAGATGCACTTTGAAAGGGCTCATTCATTAAAGGAAGGTGGGTTGCGTGAAGCCCAACTTGCAGAAGCTAATGAAAGATATGAAGAGGTGATTAAAGAGCTCAATGAGATTCTGGAGAAGCTAGCCTCGTCTGAGGGAAATAACGAGGAACTAAAGCGACAAATCTCGGAGGTGGAAGGTAAAGCTGACTTGTTATCCACAGAAAATGTAAACTTATTTGAAAGAAAAAGTTAAGGATCTCGAGGAAAGCTGAAAGCTACAACTTCTGAGATGGAAGTCTCGGCAGGGCAGCTTGCTTCTCACATGAACACCATCAGTGAACTAACTCAGGAGCACTCGAGAGTCTCGGAGCTTCATTTGGTGGCTGAAGCCCGGATTTCAGAAGCCGAAGCTCAGTTAGAGGAAGCTATTCAGAAATCTAGCCTGAAAGATTTGGAAGATAAGGACTTGTATGAAAAGCTTAAGGCTTTTGAAGCACAGGTGAGTGTGTATGAAGAACAGGCTAGGAAAGCATCAGCTCTTGCAAAAAGCCGTGAATTAGAGATTGAGCAAGTTTTGTTGAAATCGAAGGAATTGGAGAGTGGAAGGAATTGGAGAGTGAGATGGAGAGCAAATGTGACCAGTTGAAAAGGAGAGTGAAGCTCTTATTGAAGCAAACTCGAAACTCACTGAGGAATTGGGTACGTTTAAGTCTGAGATAAGCGGTTTACAAGCCAATTTGTCGGCTGTTTCATCTGAGAAAGAACATGTGGTTGAGGAATTGAATGTTGCGAGAAAAGAAATAGAAGAGCTGACTCAGAAGCTTGCTTCTGAAGGCCAAAAGCTAGTCTCAAGTAAGTGCTTTTATTTTGGAGGGTTAATTTCAGGTACCCCTTTAAAATCTGACTGATTAAAGAAAAAAAGGATAAACCAATTATCTTATGAGAGAATCAAGTACTTTCCCAACATTTTATGTATATTACAAGATTGCAATGTGTAAGTGATATTTGCTATTTTTATTTTTATAACATCGTGGGCAAGTCTTTTTGTAACTAGACTAAAATCAATGTCAGTTTCTGCAATTAACCAATTTTTTTTAAAAAAAATCCTTTATATATATATATATATTATTTAGTGTCTCCAGTATTTAATTTATCACATTCGAATCTTTCAGATATCATCGGTAATGGAAGAAAACAATTTGCTCAATGAGACATTCCAAAGTTCCAAGAATGATCTCCAAGCTATGATAATAAATCTTGAAGAGCAGCTGAAAGAACAAAAGTTGCATGAAGATGCCCTTAAATCTAAGCTGGAAATTTTGAATTCTGATGTTGCTCAGAAAGCTGAGTTGGAGAATCATCTGAAGGAGATCAAAGAACAGTTGGCAACCGCAGAAGCTCGTTTGAAAGAAGAGGTATATAACGTGTTCTCTTTTTTATTTAGTGACTCCAGCATTTATTTTATCATGTTGGAATCTTTCAGATATCATCTGTAATGGAAGAAAACAATTTGCTCAATGAGACATTCCAAAGTTCCAAGAATGATCTCCAAGCTATGATAATAAATCTTGAAGAGCAGCTGAAAGAACAAAAGTCGCATGAAGATGCCCTTAAATCTAAGCTGGAAATTTTGAATTCTGATGTTGCTCAGAAAGCTGAGTTGGAGAATCATCTGAAGGAGATCAAAGAACAGTTGGCAACTGCAGAAGCTCGTCCTAAAGAAGAGGTAATATAAGTGTTCTCTTATTTGGATATCATAAACAGACTTGCCTGTAGAAACAAAAAACAAAAAAAAAAAAAAAAGAAAAAGAAAAAGAAAAGAAAAGGAACAAATCAGTGATCTCTTTATCTTTCCATTGCTTGAAAACAGAAGGAACTAAGCTCCCAAAAGGACCTGGAACGAGAAGCGGCTTTAAAGCATTTAGCTGAAGTGTTCGATACTAAGCTAAACACTAAGGAAAAAGAAATGGATCTTTTAGAAAACAAACTGAAAGATTTTGAGCAAAAGTTGAAAGATGTTGAGCAGAAGTGGCAGCTTGCTGATGCTAAATTCAAAGAAAAGGTCAGCTTGGACTATTTTATGATACGATGCTAAATTCAAAGAAAAGGTCAGCTTGGACTTTTTTATGATACAATACTACAATACAAACAACAAAACCTTCTGCCTTTAAACATTTAGTGTTCTATATTGCACGGCTAATATGAAGCAATCTTGAATTGTAGAATAGATAGAGCTCTTGCAAAGATGCCTCACAGAAAATATATAATATGAAGAAATCTTGAATTGTAGAACAATTTTGGCTCGAACTGCATTTGATGTTTAGGTTAATCTGTACCTGATCTTGGTATAAAATCCAAAAGTGTGTTACGGGGAGGGTGATTTTAGATTTTTGATCCTATTTTCTACTGATTTTTATGCAAATGAAACACTCTGAAAAGTTAATTCATCAAAAACACTCAATTTACTCATCTTTCAGCTTCTACTCGCAACCGCACGAGTTTTCGCACTCCTAAATCTAAATCTTAAAGTGCCCTGATTCTGTCATGCAGGATATTAGAGGAGCTCCCTCAGAACAAAAGGATGAAACTATAAAATCTTGGGAGATCGATTTATCTTCTTCAGCTCCTATCAAAAGAAAGAGCAAGAAAAAGACAGAGTCAACTTCAGGTCAAGCACTATCCTCAGCTACACAGGCTCATACTGCTGAGGAATCTTCAGCTATGAACTTTAAGTTCATCTAGGTGTGGCACTTGTTTCCATTGTCATTGGTGTTATTCTTGGAAAAAGGTACTGAGATGAGGTGTTTGGGATTCGGATTTGTGCTTTCATGTTGATGAACTTTCAGTTTATTTTTATTTTTTATTGGGAAAATTAGTTTGTGATTTCATATAGGAAGCAAGCACACAGGAAAATTTATTAACCGTACTGTGTTTTGGGTTTTTGATCCTTGGATGGCTGTCAGGAATTTGGTTTTTCATTTGATGCCTGACCTTTTTGTTTATATAGTTTTGGAAAGTATCTATCTATATCTATATCTATAATCTATAATCTATCTATATCTATAACCTATATCTATCTGTAATCTATAATCTATCTATCTATCTATAATCTATATCTATATCTATAATCTATCTATCTATAATCTATATCTATAATTCCCTTAAAAGGATGAGTTATTTCTTGAAAATTTTGAAATGCCCATATTACCCTATAAAGATTTACCATTTAAGGACATAAATGTAATAATATAACTTCATTACTATCCCATCCAACCACATGTAAATAAAATATGAAATGTCACTACTACCCTTAATAGAAAATAATGTTACTTCCAAAAAGTATTATATTATGTTACTTCCAAAAAGTTATATAATGTCTTATTCCAAATACATTTACTACTTATTATATAAACAATTAAAATTGTCAAATAACAATTTAAATTTTAATTAGAATAATTAAAATATTAAAACACATGACTTAAAATAACATTGTTTCAAATAATTTCAAATAAAACGTTTTATATCATTATTGTGATGTTTTATTCATGACACATAGTACTCATTTTTTTCTTATAATATTCCTTGTGTGTTTTATAATTAATATTTTTTATAATATTAATCTATTGAAAAAAAATTGACTGGTATCTAAATTTTTAAACGAATGTATTGGATAACTACATAACTAAGATTTTTCATATACAAATATTAAAAATTCTTGTAATGCAAAGTCAACAAAAAAAATTAAAAAAAATAATAATCCATTGATCTAAACTTTTATTGAAACCAAATATTTTTTTTTTCAAATATTAATAGTTACACTCATTTTTTCAATCAATAATTGTTTTCATTCTACTTTTTTTTTCATCTATGATCTTATTAATATTTTATTTTATTTTTTAATTATTCAATAATTTAATTTATTTTAGATGGTATAAAGACGTTAAGATTATGTAAACAATATATAAATTAGAAATAAAAAAATTGGATAAAATTTATGGAAAATGTAGTTTTTGAATGTAAGAGAGAATATTATTTTAAGCTTTGTAAATAAAATAAGTTTTATTTCATAAGTGTAAATTATATAATGCACCAATGAAAGTATCATCTCTAATTTTCAAATATCATATTTTACTATAGATATTTTATGTTATAGTGTTAAAAAAATTAAAGAGGAACAATTTAATGAACATGCATATGTTTAAGAATGACGATTGAATCAAAAATAGTTATTCAACATAAGAAGTATCAATGTTTTATGGAAAACAAAATATTAGTTAAGTGCAAATATATAGTCTTAATAGAAATACTTTGTTTAAATTATTCACTAAAAAATATGCATGATACAATTTAAGTTTATCTGTTAGTAGTATGTACAATATAAATGTTCTTTAATATATTGTGTGTTACGTAAATTAATCTACTATTTATTTTAATTGTAATAGGACTCAAAATATAGTTATTGTAAAAATAAATTAAAATAATTAACACTCGATTTAAATATTGAATTTCAAAATATGTGTACTTGTTAGAAAATATATAGTTATAATTAAAATTAATAAATAAAAATAAAAATTACATTTACTTTAAATTTATTTTATTAACAATTTTATTATAAATCATAGATAAATTTAAATTTTCAAATCACTCCTCGAAACTAGGAAACATAAACCTTGTAAAAATATTGACAAATATATAAAATAATATTAAGATAAAAGTAAAATATGAAAGAATCATTATTTTACAAATTATTTAAAATAGAATTTTTATTTTCACTTTTTGTATAGTCTTGAAAATCTATTAACGAAAATGATAATGCATGCATAACGATATTAGGAGATGTAACAATAATTTATTTTAGACAATATATATATATATATATATATATATATATATATATATATAGGTACCTTCAATTAATCAATGTTACAACATTATATATAAATAGATGTGAACATTTAATCAATCAAAGATGTTATTGTTTCTAATAATTTTCAAGTAATTGTTTTTTAAATATTTACGACTTTAAAGATATTTTCAAATATTTATATATCTTATATCATTATATACAGAGAGAAAATATATATCTAAGTATTACGATATATTACACGTGCAAATATAATTGAATTTACAACCGTTATAATCAAAATAATAAAGAATGAAACATCCAACCATACTGTCAGCTTCCAATCAACAATAAGCAAATGATAACTACAAATTATAGTTATAGTAATTCGAGTTATTTTTCAAATAGTAAGACGCAAAAGGAAGACATTAAAAAAAAATTATATTTTGACAATAATAATGATCACTATTTTAAGGCATAAAGATGATATCACTAAATAACAAAATCAAGGACGACATAAATTTCTTTAACATTTCGAATTTCACAAAAAAATATTAATTTTATTTAAGATTTTCTAACCAATATTTTTTATTTAATTTTATTTGTCATAGAGTTTTGTTAATATTTAATAGTATTAAATTTTATATTTTATCTTAAAATACACAATTTTTTGTTAAATAATGAAAAAAATTATATTGCGCTATTAAATTAAATATAAATATAAAAATAGTTTTAAGTAAAAATAATAATATCACGTGCGTAGCACGTGCATCTTCCTAGTTAAAATAAAGACATGATATTGTTTTTGTTGTAATTCAGATTTGTGTTTTAAGTATTAGTGTTGGATTACTATTATAGTATTCGATCATGTGCATTTGCACAGTTGTAAATAAAGTGTTATGGGTTATATGTATGCATATAACGATTAATTATTTTTCTTCCACCTTTTTGCTGGCCAAATTTACAAAGGAGTTGGAATATTTTTTTTTTTTAAATTACGTTTATCTGTAATGTATATTTTGGTACGTCTTTTTTGTGAATTATTTATTATTTATTTAAGAATTTTAATTACGTCTTTTATTTTAAAAAATTAATTTAAATGTAACCACAATAATAACATCTAATCACATTATACGGTCAACACATTATATGATGAACTGTCGGTAATCAAAAGTTTAAAATGATTTTTTATAATTTTGAAGTGATTAGTGTTGATTATTTAATAATTAAATAAAAAATTAAATACATCGAAAATAACGATTTTTGGAGGAAAAATAATTAAATTGCCACATAGATAAAATTAAATAAGTTTTATTAAATTGCAACCCTACTACCCACATTGGAGTCCTAGCCGTCAAATCATCTATATACCCATTCGAGTATATGTTGATCTGACGGATCAGATTCCAGTTTGGCCTGACACGCATTCACCATTTAGGTGAGACTAATTTACTATGGTTCTGAAAATAGCGCGTCTTTCGGGGCTTTATGGTAGAGTAAAAAGGATAGTTGGACATGAAAATTGAAAGGTGTTTCTAATGGTATCAGCCGAGTTAGCCATCAGCCGAGCTGTTTCTAATGGCGAGCTCCTAATAGTTCACCTCGATTAACCGAGCTATAGCTAATACCGAGCTCTTGGTCTTGTTGCTAGATCGAACTACTTCTAACTCATTCCTTCTAGCCACCGCCGGCCCATTAATCGGGCCCACTTCTGTTCTGTTCAACGAGTTATTTCTATGTGATGTATCATCTTCTATCTATCTAGCCCCTCATTATCAAACGTGTTGTTGCTATCAAAGCTTCAATAGACTCGTTTGATAATGAATACAACCGCTACTATTAAAATATCTGAATTGCCGAGCACCTATCCAAAATTCATCAACAGAGTTTTAATTAAGAATCCAAATGGCCGAGCTCCTAAAATCCAAACTGCCGAGCTCCTGTTATATATAATCCCTAAACTGAAACTGACATGTTACCCAAATGGTGTCCTGTCCGAACTAGTGAGCTATTATCCAGATGACCGAGCTCCTATTGCAATTCTTCAACTGTACTATGGCTAAGAAACACATTCAACCTAAAAGTCGAGCCACTAACAGCCGAGCTGCTAATACACCTCAAAGCCGAGCCACTAAGAGCCGAGTTGTTAACATGAGGCCGAACCCTCAATAATCCTATTGTGGAAGCCGAGCTATTAATGCTACTGGACTCTGGACCTAGCTCCCGCTGCCTAAACCGAGCAGATCCAAGTCGCCGAGCTCTTATCGTAATTCCTCAACCTAACTGTGTTGTATTATGACTTTGCTCTTTGGATGTTCATCTTTGGTGCTACATATTTTGAACTCGTGTTTATTGAATTCAAATTCTTGCCAAGTACAAGTAGCTCGTCTCATTGTGAACCCCTTTATTGAATTCAAATTCTTGCCAAGTACAAGTAGCTCGTCTCATTGTGAACCCCATATTTGCCATTCTTAAGTAGCTCGGCTACTCACAGTTATGTGCAATGGTGTTAAGTATCAATGGCTCGTTTATACTCCATAACAACTCTACTTGCAATAGAAGTTCACTTCTTTTGATTGTACACGCAGAAAACATTAAGTTCACTTCTTTTATTTTTCCCTTTGAATCCACTCTGCAATTTTAAAAGTGTTTGATGTGATTATTTTCGACGTATGTGCAGATTCAAGCTGTTGTTAAAAAGTATGATTATTTTCTCAGCTAATAAGGTAGATGAGCTGTTCGGTCAGCGTGAAGAAGCAATTTGAGATATCCAAATGCCTAGCTCTTGGTGCAATTTTCTAACCGGTAATCCGAATTGACGAGCTGTATTGGCGACATCTAAAGTGCCAAGCTGTTGATACCTCACCTGAGCCAAGCTGGTTTTATGTATCATATTAGCTCTGGTTCTCAAACCAAGCTATGATTCTCCAAAGCTCATGTTATGCCGAATGAGCTCTCCCTATTCTTCTTTCTGCCATGTACCGAACCATCGCCAATGACGATCTCTTAAGCTTCCCCGAGTTAGCCATCAGCCGAGCTGTTTCTAATGGCGAGCTCCTAATAGTTCACCCTCGATTCATTTCGTTAGACTTTGTATTCAGTTACAGAAAAACTATCTCCAATGGCTCAACATGATAGCGAAGGAAGAATGAAGAGAGGATAGCAAAAGAAATTCATATTTTTTTCTTTCCTATTACCTCACACTTTTTCTTGCACTGTGAGTGTGATAGGGATGGCAAATTACATTATTACCCTCCTAACAATCTTATGTTCATTTCAGATTGCTGCATTTATTGCCGAGGCAGTTATGGGGGCAGGTGGCGTAATACCTCCGCCCGCAACATATTTTGCGAAAGTGAGTTTTCCTTTTTCCATGCTATTTATGTACCAAACTGTAAGGTGGAAAGTGTAATTTCTTCTAAATATTTTCATCTTTTGATTGTCCACGCAGAAAACATTAAGAAGTTCACTTCTTTTATTTTTCCCTTTGAATCCACTCTGCAATTTTAAAAGTGTTTGATGTGATTACTTTCGACGTATGTGCAGATTCAAGCTGTTGTTAAAAAGTATGATATCCTTTTCACGGTGCATTGTGTAACAACATGAATATTTTTCTATTTATCCTAGCCTTTTTGAGGGCTGCACAAAAAGAATGACCGAATGAATTTAGTGTACTCCACATGTTCTATGGGAAGTTCATGTTTATTTATAAGTGTGTATAAATCTGCAGGGAGAGAAATATTCTTGATCAAGTAAATAAAATAGCTCCAAAATTTCAAGAGGGTCTAAAGGCATTTTCTGACAGTCCCATCATTGGAGAGGTATAAATATAATTAGATTCTCTTTATTTTTTTATTTTTTTTTCACAATTTTTAGTTTTTTCATTCGAATTTGCGCTTTTCTACTGAAGATTCGGGGGACAGGTTTGATTCTCGGGACTGAATTTGCCGATAACAAGTCGCCAAACGACCCTTTCCCTTCCGAATGGGGTATTTCTGGAATTCTTTTTTAGTATAAATGGTTGTGAACATAGAGAAATTGTAAGAAATTTATCAGTACTAACAAAATCTACTATTCTCCATTAACATTTTTAAGGTGTTGGAGCTTATTTCGGAGCAGAATGTGCGAAGCACGGCATGTTAGTACGTGTTGCCGGTGACAATATAATGATGTCACCTCCGTTCATAATGACTCTTGAAGAAGTTGACGAGGTGAGTGTATATGCATAAATAAAAAGGGTTTCATTGTGGGAGAATCTAGATGAGTACATAATAAATGAGTCCAATTGGTTAATGATCTTGAGAAAACGCTCGACCTGGTTTTGAGAATTTGATTAGACTGCGTAAAAAAAAAAAACTGGTTTTTTGTTTGGCCCAACTTTGATAAGTTATAAATCAAAAATTGGTACATTTTATGTGCATATTAAATATTATTTTTTCTGATCTCGGTGATTAATTAAACAAATGGCCGAGCTCAATTCATCAACAGAGTTTTGATTAAGAATCCAAATGGCCGAGCTCCTAAAATCCAAACTGCTGAGCTCATGTTATAATCCCTAAACTGAAATTGACATGTTACCCAAATGGTGTCCTGTCCGAACTAGTGAGCTATTATCCAGATGACCGAGCTCCTATTGCAATTCTTCAACTGTACTATGGCTAAGAAACACATTCAACCTAAAAGCCGAGCCAGTAACAGCCGAGCTGCTAATACACCTCAAAGCCGAGCCACTAAGTGCCGAGCTGTTAACATGAGGCCGAACCCTCAATAATCCTATTGTGGAAGCCGAGCTATTAATGCTACTGCACTCCGGACCTAGCTCCAACTGCCTAAACCGAGCAGATCCTCTCCGGTTCACTGTGTCATAGACCCCCCATTATCAAATGAGCTATTGGTACTTGAACTAGATAGACTTGTTTGAGATATAAGTCGCCGAGCTCTCATCGTAATTCTCAACCTAATTGTGTTGTATTATGACTTTGCTCTTTGGATGTTCATCTTTTGTACTACATATTTTAAACTCGTGTTTATTGAATTCAAATTCTTGCTAAGTACAAGTAGCTCGTCTCATTGTGAACCCCATATTTGCCATGCATAAGTAGCTCGGCTACTCACAGTTATGTGCAATGGTGTTAAGTATCAATGGCTAGTTTATACTCCATAACAACTCTACTTGCAATCTATACTATTATAAAAGAGCCAATGAATCTGTAAAAATATGATATCCCTAAATTAACCTTACTTTGTCATGTTTATAATGTCAATTTTGTAATTTAATACCCCCATTCTATACTAATATTTTTAATTAAACACATTCTAGATCTTGGGGTTTATGTATGTTGGTTTGGCCCAATTATCAGTGCGTCTATTTATCAAAATTTCTCCCTTTTGAATATCTTGTCACTCCCCATTTTCACTTTTTGTATGAAACTTTTACATTTATTTAAATAAGATTTTCAATGATATTAAAA